AACAGTTAAAGCTTAATATCATGAAACCCTAGTTTGGTTCAGGCTTGAGGCCTACTTTGGTTCAGCCTGCCACCTTAGTGTGGTAAAGTTTGGTCTTGTAAACAAAGATTGTCTACTTCCATCTTTGTTAATGGGAGCTGAGAGATGAGATGGGAGAATTACAGCATTGAGCAATATTATTTCTAATGCTGTCTTTTCAAATGGTGTTGGGCAAAGTAATTTCCTTTTAGTCCTTGTTGGAGTTGGGGCAGTGGTGGGATATGACCAGTACGCCCTGGTACAAGCGTACCGGTGCCTGCCAGGTACCGTTTCGGTACTGTGCTCCAGAGGGCCCGCCCGCCCGCCCTCCTTACCTGTATTTGAGCCAATTGGGGCTTTCACTCATGCGCACAGAGCGTACGGTGCCTGCGCAATGTTCCACTGATCAGCTGGAATGTTGCGGATGGTAAGTATGCTTGCACGTGCTGCGCACGTGCATGTGGTGGACGCCTGGCCCTGTTGCACTGGGGTCTGGAACCCACCACTGAGTTGGGGTCTTTAAGCACCTGGAAGTCTCACATTCAGTCAGCAACTGGAAATTATGCTATCTCCATTTCAGTCTTCAAATAGCTTCTTAAGTAAAAGTTGCCTAAGGTTGCTAGGTAATCATGGGTGAAAGGAATTTAAAGCCTGATCTGGCTGAATATACTGTAATGGATCTCAATATTATACAGTACAACATTCAATCTGGATTTGTCACCTATCAAAAAAAATGCAAAAATGAGTCGAGAATTCAGTTTTTCTGGTATTTAAATCTGTTTGATAACTCTTTTAAAATCACTTCGCATATATTGCATGCAAAAAGCAATTAAAAACCTGTTCAAATAAGTTTTTAAAATTTTACAGGTTCGGTCTCAAAGTCTAATAAATATCCAAGAAAAGGAGATGTATATATCAGGTGCAATATTGTTTTATGATCATCATTTTCAATTGTTTATGCTCGAAAGCCACAAGAGATTTTGGGACTGATAACAAAAGTATAATATATACAGCATATAAGATTTGCTGAACCAATAAAATGTTCCAAACTCCAAAGCAGCTCAAAGGCACTTCATTTACTCTTACTTAAAAGAGAACGATTCAGGAAGATTGCAAAATCCACAGTTGGGCAATATTTTTTAAGAAGACCAACCACAATGTCAGAATAATTGCTTTTTAGTAGGACAATAAAAAGCCTATGGTCCAATTGTGGATTTTGTTGCTTTTTCTTATGGACCAGAATAATTACTTTAATTATGAAAAGCAAAACTTTAGAGCAGCATAAGCATTCATGGAAGTTTCCAGAGAGGAAACCCATCTATATATGTCGTCAGCCCACCAGATTTGAGAAGACTGAAGTAGAGCATTATAATTAACCATAACCTAACATTGGCCATCTTTAAAATAGGATATGTTATCCTATTCAGTCTATTCAATTTATATTCAATATAGATAGATAGATAGATAGATGATAGATAGATAGATAGATAGATAGATAGATAGATAGATAGATAGATAGATAGATAGATAGATAGATAGATAGATAGATAGATAGATAGATATAATTACAGATCAAATCCAACAAGAGGAGGATATTTGAAATGAATGCACCAGTTCTGGAAAGAACAGCATCCAGAATCATAAATAACAGACCAGAGGCTAGCAGATTAACATTGATTTATAATACAAAATAAGTATTCACAGAAGGGGAACTGGAAGAAGAGCAAAGGTCTACCCAGGAGGGGAAAAAAATCTAAGTCTTGACAGAAGTAACTCAGTCTGGCAGTAGAGGAAGCCAATACCGCTATAGAATTTTGTTTCACTTGCTATCCTAGGTCTGCCTATCCCTCATTTGCCTATCCATGGTCTTGGAAAGGACTCAACATGTGGATAAAATGCAAAATGTAGTCTGAACAACTGGCTGACTATGCAATGAGCCATAAGAATATAAGAATATGAATAAAAGACAAGAATTGCAGAGAATTACAAAGGAAAATTTAAGATGAAAGATTATGACATAAACCGGCCATGGTAGAACCACTGGTTATTGGCACACTGGGTACCATGTCAAAAATAAATCTTGGATAGCACTTAAAAAATCTGAGCATTGACAAAATTTCCATTTCCATTACATTGCTTGGATCCATATATTATAGTCTTGAATATATATATATACACACACACTCACACTAAGCTGATATTGCAAAATCCTAGATTCTTGGGAAGGACTAATATGGAGGCCAATATAAACTAAAGAACTAGCAGCTATGATTTTGCATTATTGTATATATAATAATTCAAAAACATGTTCGATATTCCAACATGTATCTAATTATTCCGTTGAGTCTTAAGATCAAATAAAATTCCAAGTTTCTTGTCTAAATTTTTTATTTTCTTTGTCTTGATGCTGATTTTTATGGAAATATTATTAAAATCCAAAGTGATAAAGCATCATGAAAATACAATATATGCCATACAATGAATCTGGCACCTTCTTCTGTACTTTCTACTTAAATGTTGCAGATTTCAAAGATTTAGAGCCCATCTATACCGGTGGACATTGAAAACTAAGCAATTGCCGGGAATCTCCTTTCAAAACTGATGAGATCATTGCAAAGACCTCAAAAACTCTTTCCGTGCTAGGAATTCTCCCTGAAACAAACTAACTCACAATTAAGAAAAGCGGATGGTACGTAAAATTCTCAGACTTTACTATACTCCCTTTCCCAATTCAATGCCTCAAACTGTCTGGAACATAAAATAGATTTGGCTGAAACATGCCAAACAATGATAGCAACACGTCACACATAAAACACCTTCCAAGAATAAAAATAGCAAGGTTTTTATTGTTCATCATCTTTTATGCATTTGGCGAATAAGCTATGAAAGGGCAGCACTTTTTTTTCTTTTTCTTTTAACAAGCTTCCAATAAAAATAGGAAACAGGAAGAATTTTGGCCCCAAAATTATAGTCTTGAATATTCAGGGCAAGAAAAGAGGACACTCAAAAATACGAACTGAAACTATAGCAATAGAGAATTATAGTTCCCAATCACATGGTACACGTTCTAAAGTAGACAGATTTGTTATTCTTTTTGAATACATAATTATTTCTTTTGTTAACTGTTTTTTTGGCAACTCAAATGTTATGATTTCTCCTGGCAACCGCTTTCATTTTCTAAGGGTATAGACAGTTTATATATCAGTATGGATAAGGCATATGCTTAATTCTTTTTACTTTATAGAAATATATTATTACATAATAATTAGCAATGTAATCCAAATAGAATTGCGAGGACTGCAAAGCAACAGTTAATCAACCACTTCCAAAGTTCATGTAAGCCAGAAGAGAAAATATTGGGAAGCAGTTGTGAAAAATTCCATGCAACAACTTGGGATGAAGAATTTACTAAGGTGAGAACTGCTTTACCAAGAGCCCTGCTCTGAAGAATAGCAGGTAGAGCCAAGACAAATGCTATATCTGATCCTATTTGTTATTTATACTTTAATACAACTTTTGAACCTCTATGGTACCATACTATGTTCTGAGATCTGAATTAGATGTCAGAGTATCTCCAAAAAGCTGCAGAGCACTAATCATATGCTGGCTTTGAAGCTAAAGCAAAGCCCTTCTAATTATCCACTTTCCATAGAGGAGATATGCAGCTTTCAGTTCATCATGCAATCCAGGCAGTTGCATGCCTCATGAATGTGTCTCTTACAAACTACCAATTTTCTCCATCCACCTACCCTTTATACAGCTGCCTCTCTCTGGTTTCTCTCAAATCATGCATTGCTTCTTCTCTGGCAATTAATCCTTGCAGTTCTTTGTTTTGTCTCAATCAGCTTAGATGACCAAATCAAGACTAGGACATTCATATCCTTCCACCCTTCATCCACGTTCCTTCTTTTTTCTTACCTCAGACGCTCTTGTAATGCATCTGCCTTCCCCAGAACATGGAAAGCCATCAGACTGGACTCCTCCAGGCAAACACATGCTGACCTTTACTATAACCGTCAAGCGTAATGGAACGATGCATTTGGAAACAGAATCATTCACAAAACCTGGAAGAAATAGACCATATGTATTATTGCTGTTAAAAATAGAATACGATGCCTTAAAAGGGAACTTAAAATAGACAAACCAACGAGTTAAGGCTGTTGTTAATACTTCTCCTCTCCTAAATCCCATTAAACTGCTATTAACTGGCCATAGACAGAGATTATATGAATGTCAGCAATATTATACTGTACAGATTGGTTTTTTAATTTTTTTTGCTTATATTACCTCTGTAGTTCACAATAGTTTTAGGAGAGAAAAGGGTAGGAAAAAATTGGACAAGAGGATCAATCCAGAGTTGGAATCTGCTGTGTGTGTGTATATATATATATACCTGTGCTAATTTCATTAGAAGCATAGATGAGATGTAGTTAAAATGCACTTACAATTAATTCAATGACCCATGTCAAAGAAAAAATAAATCCCTTATCAGAAGTTGAAAATGAGATAGATAATACTGCTTCTTTATATATTTTCATTTATCTATGAAAACTATGGGTAGACCAGTGTGGGTTCCTACCAGTTCGGACTGGTTCAACCAAACCAATAGTGGTTTGGCGGCCTGGGTTCCCCGGTTGCTGCCATTGGTGCCGCCATCTTATTTTTCCAGTTCTGTGCATGTGTAGAAGAATTGTAATTTGCCCTGTGCATATAGCACACATGAAGCAAGCACGTGCGCGAACCAGCAGTAGTTCTGGCTGGAACCCACCCTTGGATACACCACATTAATTATACAGTTTGGAAAAGGTGGGTCTCTGGCTTTATGGGGTTCAAAGATTGGTTTCTCACTTACTCTGCGTGCCTCAGCAGGAATTAGCACTAAGCAGACTTTATATAGGCTCAGAAGCTAAGCAAGTTCAGGTTTGGTAAGTTACAGAATGGGATACTACAAGAATACAAGAAATGCAGGCTAGAAAATTGGAAAACATTCTGGAATAAGGAAGTGGCAAACTACCCAGTGTAGAAATAACAGATACATCTGCAGAGTTACCAAGAACTTATCTGGATTCAAAGAAGTCTCTACTTTTACATAGTCTAGTCCGATGCTTTTGAAAAATGAACTGAGATTCAAAGCAGCTAGATATAGGCCAGAGATATATAATTCATTTGCATATCACTGGAGAAATGATATAAAGTCATGTGCAAAGGCCCTTATAATGTAAAGTAGTTCTAGCATCCATATCTATATTTGATCAGATATCAAGGTCACAGCATTAGAACAGTTACAAATGACTATATTACAATTTTGTTTCACTTAATTTTGATTCTCTCTCTTAACCTCTTATTGCCAGCAAGTAAGTGTTTAGAGAAAATCATTATTAGTAAATTGAGTTGATTAATGTATAATTACCATACAGGAGAATACTCAGCAATGAAAGACACCATCATCCTTATGCAAAATTTATTTATGACTGATCATGAAGTAGAACACTTTGAAGAAGAAAATAAAGGCAGCCTTGAATATGTGGTAATTACTACCTGGAGTAATTAGCAAGGTAGCCTTTTTATAACAATAAAATTACTTAAGACCATTATTATCTACTAACATTTACTAGAAATACTTTAAAACTTCATGTTAAGTAAAATGACAAGAAGTAAATAGTGTAAATCATATTTTAAAGAGGAGTACTGTTCATGACTACAAAATCTCTAACACACTGAAATAATGGGGGATTTTTTGACCATCAACCAAATATTTCTAAATTATGTATCTATCATTTACTTATGATGAAATGGAAGAGGTTTTAAAATGTATAATTGCAATGTATTAATATTTAAAGTGGAGAAGATATCTTGTATTAGAAGTAAAATAAATATCAAATTATCTTTCATAGTAAAGAGAATAAATTAAATACTATTATTCCAGAACTGGCAGGTCTCAATGAGAATTATCTTTTCTTTATTGGTTTCCTGAGACTAATTGTTATAAATTGTTCCTAAAAATTATGCTACAACAATAAGTAGGAACCTCAATAGTTTATTCCTTCTGGCTAGCAATGATCTAAAGTGGAGGCAGATGGACTAACTTTCCAATTTACATTCCAACTCAGAATTAAGAGAAGAAGATGCACTATACTGCAATATCTGCCATTTTAACACTATATTTAAAATTACTAAGAATTCAGTGCATCAATTACTGTACCAGCATAATTCTAAAAATGGACAAACATATTATGATGCTATGCTAAGAAAAGCAAAAATCCTGCTAACAAGATATTTACTTACCTGCCTCACTTATTTAATGCATATAAACAAAACAAGACAAATGCCATTTTCTGTTCATCACATCTTTTGTTACCCTAAACTAAATCTTTAATCCAGGGTTTCACAAATGTACTGGATTTTTATTTGCCATAATACCATAACCAGCATAGTAATGGATGTCTATCACATCTCAAGAATATCAGATTGGGGAAGCCAATTAACCTACTTGGCATTTGGCATATATAACTGAAATACTCATCGGACAATGTTTTCAATCACAATGAACAGCCAAGGTTTTAGAAAACAGATGCAATTTTTATGTAAATTACTTCTGTTACAGAGAAGGAGGAGATTATGAAGACAGAAAATTACATAAACTGGTTTCTTTTCTCATGAAGCAATAGATTAGGGCGAAGAAACATAATATAGCCTTCTGAACTTTAATCCTAATGTTATTTTCATCAAAGGGATAATATTTTTTTTTAACAGAACTTTTTTTATTTTTCTTTTAAAAAAAAACACAAATATGTCATCATTTGTCAATCATTAAAACATTGAAGAAAGGGATAATATTTTTATAGTAAAGAAGCTAGTGGAAATCTCACATTCCTGGACCTAGCAAAAGAAAAAATGTTGGTTTTTTATTTAGTTGTATCATTTCTTTGAATCACAGAAGCAAGGGCATACGTCACTGATGGTTGTTATTTGCCAGGATTTTACATTTCCCTGGGTAATCTTTTAAGGAAGCCTTACCAGGGGTGGGTTCCTGCCAGTTCTAACCTCTTCTATAGAAGAGGTTCCACAAATCTACAGTGCCATTTAGAACTGGTTCCAGCTCCCTCCCCCTGCCCATCCGCACATCATCAAGATGAAGAGCGAGAGGAGGAATTCTGGGAGTTGAAGTCAACAAGTCTTAAAGCTGTCAAGTTTGGACACCCCTGGGTTTTTTTTCTAAAGGGCTAGGAGTGCAAGGGTATTGTAACTTGTCAGCTTTAAGACTTGTGTGCTTCAATGCCAGACTTCCTGAGCCAACATGACTGGAGGAGGAATTCTGGGAGTTGAAGTCCACAAGTCTTAAAGCTGTCAAGTTTGAACACCCCTAGGGGGGGTTCTAAGGGGTTAGGGGTGCAAGGGTCTTGTAACTTGACAGCTTTAAGACTTGCATACTTCAAATGCCAGAGTTTCTGAGCCAACATTTTGGTTGCTAAGCAAGAGTATTGTTAAGTAAGTTTCATCACATTTTACCCAGTCACATGACTGTCAAACCACTCCCACTCGGTCACATGGCTGGCAAGACATTCCCACCCGGTCATGTGGGCAGCAAGGCACTCCCACCCAATCACATGACCATCAAGCCACAGGTACAGAAGAGGTTCTAAAAAATTTTGAAACCCACCACTGAGCCTAAATATTCCATTACAAAAAACCAAATCATATCTCATAGTCCTATTCATAGTGCATTACTGTAATACAAATTCCTATTTCTATTATAACTATAACAACTCTGATTTAATGTAAAATATACACATGGCTTGTTCAATACATTAGAAAAATACTTTGTGAGTATAAAAATCAACATTAGCAAAACTCACCAATGAAATAGTTGTTTCCCAATTCCAGCATCTCCTCTGCTAGGACAAGTCCACCCATTGCTTGGAGAAGAGTAATGCTTGTGGCATCTATAAGTGAGCATTCTTTAAACCTTTCTGTGGTCACCTTCCATAATAGGATAAGGGAAGCAGTGGCATCTTGCCTTATTCTAAAGACAAAAATAAAACTATTAAGCAGATCATAATGAAAACAAGTGTTTTAAACATTTTCTATAAGAATGTAACATCACTCATCACATTAAAAACATGTTTCTTTAACTTACTGGAATTGATGCAAAATTTCTCATTAATTCAAACACTTGTGGAAGATGTCAAAAGTGAGTACCAGTACATATTAATTCTACAACATTAGACTTACTGGGGAAAAAATTGTTGTTTTGTTGTTGTTGTGCTTTTATTAAATACACAGCAATTTGAAAGCCCAGCTGGCAATTCTTTAGGTGACAGCCTTCATTCACACTTCATTCTTCCCAAGAGCTTAGAATTTTATAGTGTATTGGTGTAGCGTATGTGTGGCTGTAGACAATGCGGTCTTTTTTAATTGAAGGATGGAAATTTTGTCAATGTGCAGGTTTTTTTTAAGTGCCATCAAAAAAAATTTGGAATGGCACCACAGCTGGTTTATGCTATATAATCTTTCAAGTTCAAGTTTCAGATTTTGATTTTCTTTGTGATCTTCACTAATTCTTTGTCTTCTATTGTACTATTACTGATGTTGCCACATCAATTATCCACACTCTCTTATTTTCAACCACAGTTAAATCTGATGAGTTATGTATCAAGCCTTCATCAGTTTCCATTAGGAAATTCCACAATATTTAAATATGATCATTTTTTACTCCTTTTTAAAACTTATGTTCTCATTAATTTTTCCTTATTGGCACATGATAATTTTTAAAAATGTTTCAATGAGTCATCATGGTAACTATGTTATGTCATTGTTTATGAACAGTTTGTATGACCTTGTTGGACGAGCTAAGTATATGATTGTTTCTTTTGCTTCTTTGAACAATCTTTTCGTTGAATTATTTGATTTTTCAACTCTGCTCTTGATTGTATTTGTTCAAACAACTTGCTCTTGAGCACCAAAATCAAGCTTCAGGTGTTTTTTTAATGTTCCAGTTGTAATGGATTGCCAGGTTTTATCTTTGACAGTTTGACTTGAAGTAAATCTCTGCCTTCATTTTCATAGGCTAGATATAGTCTATAACTCTATCGCTACAGGGATGTAATGCATAGTGAACAGTCATCATTTCTCTGACATTTTGGTCCAATTGATTTTTAGTCCAATTGTTATGGCTGGTCACACAGTCAGACAGATGTTCAGACTAGATTTGGCATTTTTTCCCTGCCTATCATGCCCTTTCCAAGGACCTGGGATAGGCAGCTGTTGTTTGATGGCGTTAAAGATACCATCATAGGATGTAAGATATACTAAATCAATCTTTTGCAATTGACTGATGGTGATTTTCTCAATGCCAATGGTGTTCACATGGTGCCCATGTTCTTTTGGGATTGCACCCAAGGCAGCTATAACTATTGGTGTTATCTTTGCTTTCTTTTGCCACAGTTGTTCTATTTCTATTTGCAGATCTTGGTATTTTGTGATTTTTCTCTAGTTGTTTTTTTTCTTCTATTCTGCTGTCTCCAGGTACTGCAGCATCCACTATTCAGATTTTTTTTGTCTTTTTTATCGACAGTTTTTAAGTCTGGGGTTTTATGTGGAAAGTTCTTGTCTTTTGAATTCTAAAGTCCCAGAGCACTTTAGCTTTTTCATTTTCTAATACTTTATCTATTTTGTGGTGTGTGTGTCTCTCTCCCCCCCCCCATTTTTGCTTGCAGGAAAATGGCATTTCTTGCAGATTTTTTAATGCACCATTGTTGCTACTTTGTTATGCCACTGTTTCTTCAGCTTCTTTGCAGAAGCACCACATGCTGCCTGCTGCTGTCTTCTCAATTCTTGCTTTGTTCTTAAGGCTTGGTCTTCTACAGCCAGAAGTAGCCCCTCTGTCTCTTTTTTCAACTTTTTTGCTCTTAGCCTTTGCCTGATCTTGTTATTTGCTTTGTCTGCTTCTTTTTTTAATGTACTGCCATGTAGTATTTTGCCTTGCCATATTTCTTTTAATAATGATGTTGGTTATTAATATTTTAATGATAATACATTGGTGTGTTCATTTATTATCATTATTATAAATTTATTATAGCTGCCCCTTTTCATAGACTCTGGACAGCTTAGAAATACAAAATAATAAAAAGTTAAAATATGTATACATACAACATGTTACATTGATAATGGACCTCCTTGGACTTCTTAACTAGGGATTTCTTAGGACTTCTTAACTAGGGAAGAAGTTAACTATGTGAAGAGGACAATTGTGGCCATCACAAAGTTTTAAATCAGTAGCTTTATATATATATAAATGTTCCTCTACAGCAGGTATCCTCAATTTCCATACAAGTTGGAACAGCTGCCTTTGCCCATAATGGCTAGGAATTCTGGTGACAGCCACAGGCACTAAGATGGGGAAGGCCAGTCTATTCCTACCTATAAATAACATCTAATAAACAAGATTTAACACACAATGGGTGGAAAGTCTCAAGAATGAGAATAATAAAAGAAACAAGCAAAATTTGGCTGAGAAACAGAGAGGCATCTTGAATATTTTTAAAGTATGAATAGACCAAGAGATTGGCCTCAGGAACTCAGGAAAGACGAAGGAAAAGCTAGGGTGAAAAACATGAGTGGACCGGCAACTGAAGCTAAGTAAATATAAATTCTGAGGAGGGAGGGTGAGAAGTCATGTCAAGCTTAGAAAAAGATACATCTCTCATCAATAAGTAACTTTGAAGACATTAACCCCAAGGGGAAAAGATTATAAATCTTATAAATGTCTGCATACACATCCAATCCATTAACTGCTATCTCAGCAGCTAAAATTTAATAGTCCCACATTTCTAGAGCAGTAACCTTGGAGGGTAACTCCAGTCAATCAGTCACAGTAGATTAAAATTGCAGCTCTAATTAATCACATTATTTTGGCTCAAGTACAACTATTAAATATTTAGCATTTTTATATTTCTAAAAAAGCAATTATGGCTTGGCTTTGTTTCTCTATGCTGTAAATATTAATTTTGCCGAGGTCAAAGCCATATTTCTACTAATGACAGTGGGTTTGGTTTTCATGTCACATCCCAAATAATTATTGGGAAGAATTGGCTTTTTTAGCCTAAAACAAGTTTTGTAAATGAAGAATAATACTTTCTAATGAATATTTCCCCTTATTCTTTCACTGCATCTTCAGTTGAATAGCCAAATACTTTTAAACACTCTTTTCCATTCAATTCCAAAACAAGAATTTAATCTTCTTAAATATATCATGTCCATTTTATGTTAGATACCAACTTTCATGTGGAGTTCAACATTATGTCCCACTTCCACTATGCTTTCTAACATAAGTTATCTCTTCCAAAGTTGGAATAATAAGCATACAAAAGGCTACATCTTCCTTCCAGATAAATATTTCTTTTTGATGACAAATAATAAATGTGTTCTCTTCTGTAATATATCATGGAACTTGACTCTTACTACTTTTGCTTGAAAAATCTAGGATCCCTAACAATAAATATCTGCAGATGAGGGAAAGCTCCATAATTCATCTATTGTAATATTTTCCAGTCTAGTGCACTCTCTTTGTGTTGGATTTAAACTATCATACTTTCCAACTAATTAATAAGCATTGATATCTAAAAGGACAGCCCACCCCTAGAAAAGCATGTGTAGCTGTTGTCTTTTCCCTTCAAGATTGTGGGAAAAGGCAAAGCAAAAAAGTTGCACATGCACTTGCATTCTAAGACTGCAGAGTCAACATTGAAAGCAGCCATGTCAGCTTGGGGAAAAAGCAAAACTGCTTTAATGATCTGGGGGGGGGGTGGATGTCATTCGGGGCCCTTGCATGCACCAAAGCATCTTTTTAAAAGACCTTGCATTACCCTGTTTCCATGCATGAGAAAACTGTGAGGAAAATAAGCTTTTTGTGTATTCCAATGAAACAATAAAAATTTGAACATTTGGACAACACAACTGAAAAACTAGCAAATCATTTTAGTGGGGGAAAAGAAATTGGTGAATCAATTGTGACATAAGCTACCGTAAGGTGTTTACACTGTGTTCCTGCCATTCTTTTCCATTTATACACGGATTTCAAATGATGGATTAAACAACCAACATTATCTAAAGCTTTTCTGTAATAATGCAAAACAGCAGTTTCTTACTTTATTGAAGTATTTTGTGGAACTTCAAAAGAGATTAGACGACCCCCACCAGAATTATTGGAGCTGGCATTTCCACAGGCTACATCAGGAATTATCTATAAAGAGTGTGCATAAATATGAGACATCCTATATAACTAACAGTTTTTAAACAGAACCCAAAAACCGGTTTTAAAATGTAATAAAACTGAAATGTTTTTGATGGCTATATTTTGGAAAAATTACTTTCTGAAGCTTTATAGAGCAACATATGCGCAAACAAAAAGACTCCGCTGGAAAAGACATTGATTTGGATCTGTTTTTTTTTTTAAGAAAAACACAGAGAGCTTTTCATATTATAGCAACCTAGATTCCTAATAGATTGAAACACAATCCTATAAAAAACCATGGAAATGAAAATTCATTTCAGGAACACACAGCAAGATAGCTGATAGCATCTCTCAGCATCTTACTGTTGTGTAGTGTGGAATACAAACGAATCATAGATAGCAATGTTTTGCCACCTGATGCCAGCAAAATGAAGAACAATTATTAATTTTTTTCCAGTGAGAAAAGACTTTTCACAATATAAACTAGAGCCATTACTACTTGCCGAGGAGGAAAAAATACTATAAGGTATTTGTTTATTTTTGTGGGTAAAATGTTTCATTTTCAGGCAGCGCTTCTTTAAAAATTGTTAAAGTATTCTATTAATATGTCTTCTACATTGATTTAGATTGCAAATTCAGCAGCGGCTCAGTCAAATGTATAAGCTACTATCTAAGTACTTAGATAGTAGCTTATACATTTGGGAGTACTCCCGGCCTATTTTACAAATGCTCTCAACATATTTTTTTTTAATTTTCTTTTTGACTTCCAGATTTTAGGCTGTTCAGCCCAATTCTTTTATTACAGAAAAATTCAAAACATTAACATTCTTCTAGAAACCTTATTACATACAAATGAATAATACAAAGCAAATTCTTAGAAATGGTAGTATTTGACATACTAACTTACCCTTTCTTAATATAAAATATAATTTTCTTTTCTCTCAGTGTAGGACATGAGAAATAAAACATCAGTTAATTAATATTTTCAATAGATTTTAAAGAGTGTAAAAATAAATCTTGCAAAATAAATTATCAAATATATTTAGAAAATCCCTTAAACTGAAATTTGATGAAGATCCAGTACCATATTTTATCATACGATAGAATCAAATAATGAAGTGAATATAATGCTATATTTTATAATGCATACAAAAAGTAGTAATTATGCAGGGGGTATGCATTTCAAACTTAGTTAACTCCTAGCCCATTTTCTTCTGTGATCTTTTATTGAAAAATATCAAGTATCAAGAGAAAAACTGTTAAAAATTGCAGAACTAAATTGCAGAAAATAAAAAAAAGTTTCTTTTAATATTCCAAAGAATAAAGAATTTGTCTATACCCTCAAATGTCCATTTGGTAGTATTAAATAATCAATGTATTTAAATAAATATGGTCTGTGATCAACAACAATGCTGGTGGCATTCATTAAAATTAATTACTTCTCAGAAAAATACTAAAAATTTATACCAAGTTCTAAGATAATTTTGTAATTAACATTTTGCACCACAAATTTCACAAACAGAATTCTTAGTTATTTTTCTTGATCCTTCAAGCTTTACATATAAGGGCACATACAGACAATCTCTTCCTAAAGCTCCTACTGGATTTCATTCAGAAATAATTTATGGTACGCATTTTGCTTTTTTTTAAAAAAAAACTTACTTCTACTTCATCCCATTTCAGATCCACAAGTTTTTGCCCCTCCTTGGGTTCCCATGTCGGTAATGTCACTGTTGCTTGGGCTCGTGGCAGGATAATATCAGGTTCCATGGTGGCTGCTCCTGGCCTATTTTCACTTGGCAATTCTGATTCTGTCCACCCAGACACTGGGGAACCATAAAATGAATATTCACAGTTTGTACCTTCATAGCCAGTATTACAAACACAGATATATCCATCCCCATTACTAGTGCAGTTGCCATGGTGACAAGGGTTGCTGGCACATGGATCTGAAACAAACTGAAACACAAACAATAATGGAATTCTTAGTACCACAGAATAAGATGTGTCAATTTTGTCATAAATGTTAATTTGTTAAAATATCTGGGTGGCCTTCACCGGCTTTACTTAGAACTTCCTTTTCCAACCAAGCATCTTTTAAGTGTGCTGGACCTCAATGGTCAAAATTCCTAGTTGATATAATAACTTTTAACAACTGAATCTGTGAAAAAACATAACTGGAAGGCAACAAGGCGAAGAAGAAGGTTCTTTATTCACATTTCAATAAAAAGATTATTCAGGAGAAATAGAAGAAAATTAGCAAACAAAAGTGATGGTGCTGACAAAGTTGGATGGTTTAGAAATGTAATATTTGAACAGTTTCCAGAGGATTAATAATTAGCCTTTTGCAGCAAATACAACAAATCACATAAGTATAAAGTAGCACAATTATTACTGTTATGCTATTTGTGAGGATAGTTGACGAATATTGATGCACTGTTCTGAAGACACTAGGAAGACAACAGTTATATGTACTATTTGTAATCAACATCTAAATTGTGGTAAAAGTTTTTACATCTAAAATTCATCTTGAACAATGATCAAACATTAGTTTTGGGGGGGTGCAATATGTGTGTGTATGCATCCAGGAAAACAGACTCATCTTAGACTATGTTCTCTATCTAACAGATTAAATCCCTGAAATATTAATGCAATAATAAATGAATTTGATTTTAAGACATTGCAAAAGCAATTTAATAGACTAGTGATATCTTAAAAATGGGCACACTTTCTGGATTCTCTTGTAACAAAATATATTACCACGTCTCGGGGGAGTTGTTTTTGTTTTGCCGCCCAGGAGTTGACGCGAAAAATTTATTATTGCATTAA